CTTATCCACAAAGTCCATGGTGTTCTGTATGTGGTGTTCTGAGCTGCCAACTAAAGGGATGAGTACAGACGCCAGATATTTGGAAACATTGTAAGTGACAGAGTTAATCATACTAACAATAGGTCTTAAAGGTACACCTTGTTTGTGGATTTTAGGTAAACCATACAGACTAGGTGTGGCCTCCCCTGGGTACAGTCTGTGGTACAGAAAAAGGTCAATAGCCTTGTCCTGCTCCAAAATTTTCAGGCAATCTATCAATTTCTTCTTGTAACCACTTCCTGGATCTCTTTTCAGAGGTTCATAAGTGTTTAAGTCACTAAGGAGTGTCATAACTTTCTCATGATAGTCTTTCTGGTTCAAAATCACTGTGCACCTTCCTTTGTCTGCTGGGAGAATGATGATGTTTTTGTCCTTGCTAAGAGTGGTGAGTGCGTCCCTCTCCTCTCTACTGATGTTGGAAGGTGGTGGTTTGGCGTTGCTGAGGCAGGCTGAAACTTTGATTCTGAGCTGTTCTGCTTCACCCTCTTTCATTTTGTTGTTGCGGATGGCTGATTCTGTGGCTGTGATCATCTCCACCAGAGGAATTGTACTTGGTGCAACCGCAAAGTTCAGCCCCTGGCAAGAATCTCTGTCTCCGGCTGGGTGAGCTGTCTGTCAGATAAATTCTTCACCCACTTTTCTGTCTCCCTGGCATGTAATTGACTACTGGAGTGTTGTCCTACACTGAATGTGTTGTTATTGGAATAGTGATGGTGTTGATGAGTTATTAGTAAGTTAAACTTGTTTTGTTGTCGAGTCTTGGACTTGACATGCTGTGCTAAGCGTGCCTGATCTGTACAGTCCATCACTTGCTGAAGTGTGGTCTGATCTAGACACATAGTTAGTTTCTGTTTAATGTGCTCTTCTTTGGCCTTCAAGGCCTCAATAGTAAAATTGGTCTGTCTCACCCGTTCATTCAGCAGCTGGGTCTGTGCCTTCTGAAGGATCTTGCTTGCCCGGTGCCCGCTGACCGAAGATTTTAGTTCCAGGCTCTTGGGAATGATGCCACTTTGTCGACATCTGAGGTTGAATCGCAAATGGTTCCTGTAGTAATAGATAAAGTTAAACATTTTAATGTTACAGCACTGACAGGCAGCAGCAGTGTAGAGTTTAGCTACCTGTTGCTGCTAGCTAGCTTACTTTACAATCAGAGACTGTTTCCTTACACAGTTACAGAATGGTAAACTGATAATGATGGATAACATTACCACAACTAACTAACACACAAATACTGTTTTTATTAACGTTAATATAGCTAGTAAACCTTTAAACATTAGAGCACTGACAGCCCATGTTGTATATTTTAGCTACTGTGGCTAAAGTTGCTGCAATGATGAATAACGTTACCACAGCTAACAAACACGTAAATACTGTTTTTATTAACCTTACCTTGTGCTATATCTTGTAATATAACCTCTGTAAATAAAGGTTGAAGGAATGAAATTCCGTGGTTTCCAGACAGGTCTCCCGAGGGAGAATAGACCCGGAAGTACTGATCAACATCGAGTCAGAACGGAAGTTGTCTTGACGTCATGTGAAAAGGGTCTATACCAGCATTGTAAGAGAGGGACAGTTGAATATGGAGGCCTCTGCATCTGTTTAATGATGGACGATTTCTATGCACAAAAATGGCTTCCTTCACTCCTCTCTCAAACCAACGTTCCTCTCTATCATTGAACATCTTTATCCCTGAAAGAGTAACCTCTGGCCTGGAGATGAATGTAGACCACAGAGTCCTGGCCTGATGATGTTGCTCTTCTGTGCTGGGCCAAAGAGCAACATCATCAGGCCAGGACTTGTTATATGAACATAGCCAATACATATAGTCAATTAGTGAAAATGAGTAGATGAGAAATTATGACATGTAATTCAGACACGTGTTACCCTGAGCGTTTAGAGAGTGGAATACAGTTTATTCTATTTCAAAGACTAATCAAAGTTGGGGAAGATGTAAAAGATGATAAAGGCCAGAGGCCAACTCCCAGTTATAAACAGGAAGTACTACATGTTCATCTGTACAAAGGTAACTGCAGGTACATCCTCCATTATTTGTCATAATTACATTGTACACATAATGGTTGAATTTAAGGTTAATGCTTAAAGCTAGATGTTTTGTTTTGTGTTTTATACGTAGACATGTTGTAACTTCTGGTTGCATAAGTTTAGTCTTTGTATGTTATGATCAGTTAAAACTAAACTGATTTTGTACAAAGTGTGTACTGTAAAATTTACACTCTTACATATTGAATTTCACAGTGAGTCCTTGCCCTGTGTCGCTCTGTAACATGAAAACATCTATTGCAGTAACTATTTGAAGTTATTAGTAGCTTAGAATTTATTATTTTATTTTTTGCCTGTCTTCTTTGCCTTAATGTTGTCTGATAAGACAGAAATGCCTCACTTAACACTGAGCTTCACTACCTCCACCATTACAGCTATCTCTGTTTTTCTGAGGTTGTTCACCCTGGGTTACATTTCCTCGTGGGCGGAGAGATCTTACCATTCACATAAAATATTTGATAATGTTCTTATAGAAACAATTCCTGAATGTTGTTCATACTGTACAGCTGGGTAAGGTTACAGTAGACCTAGCCCATTACTGGAGTTTTAATTGGGTACTTTAAGCTACTAATAAACATGATGGATGATGATCATATTGCTTTATGCTAGGCCATTGGTAAGAAGGAGTGATTATTATTATTGTTTCATATTGGCTGGTGATTTTTTCTCTAAAAGTTAACTTAGGCTACACTATGTTTTTTAGACTGTGGCTAGGATGTGTGAGAGAAGTGGAGTGTGCTCTATTCACACAAGGAGAGATGTTGGTCAGGTTACCTCTTGTTGTGTTATTAACTCTAAAATAGTTATTGAATCAAGTGTTTACTTGTGCAGGTAAAACTAGATGTTAAACAACCAATTAAAATACACCAGAATGCAGGAAATGGCATCTTCTTTACTCAAAATTTTCTGGGGGAGGACCCCCAGATTCCCCCCCCCCCCCCCCCACCCCATCACATTACAAATGATTCTGATGATTCTGATGCTAATGGCCACCATGCTGCTAAACAAGTATACATATGGGCATCATATGGTGTTCAAAGTGCACTTAAGTCAGTCTTTGAAGTTTGTGCTAAGGTGGCCTGAGATGGTATCAAATTCCTGGCCTGGATTATTGTCCCAGTCCATCCCTGAATATTAGTCTTTCTCAGCCAAGAAGAAAGAGTTTGATAGGATTTTTTTTGCCTCCAATTCTTACGTGTCCAGTTTCACTACTTTTTTGTCTGTCTAAACAGATATCACTTGTAAATGAGTCTTTGAGGCTCAATGCGATTTATCAGTCTAAATAAAGGTTGAATTGAATTGGATATATAAACCTGTCTGGCCTGGAAGCACCCTGAGATCTGCTAGGATGACCTGCAGAGTGCCAGTGCAGAGCAGGAGGTCTGGGTTTCCCTTCTGTACCAGTTGCCTCCCCAATTCCATCACAGATAAGTGGAAGAAGATATCAGAGATTTCCCCTTTTGAAGAACAACAAATTATCGTTTGGATTTGTTTTCTCAGTTTGTGTGTTATTACCATTCAGTACTCCTTTTACAACCACAGGTAGGTGTGTGTGCCTCCTCAGCCAGGTGATGTGGTCCCAGCTGAGAGCTGGCTCTATGGCATTCGCAACATAAACAGCCAAACCGCTATCGCTGCCATAGTTGTCCTCAGAGAAGGCCAGGGAGGCTGTAGAGAAGTTTGACATCCTGGTTGAGAGAATGCGCACGCACACACACACACACACACACACACACACACACACACACCCACACACACACCCACACACACACACCCACACACACACAAAATAAGGAGTTAAAAGAGGCATCTGTGTACGCAGTATCAACTGACCGGTGGATTGCATCTGTTGTTAGGCCCTACCTCAGATGGGGGGGCATTTTAAAGCGATTGCGCACGTCATCCAGCCTCTTTCCCAAGTATGGTGTATCCACTGTAACAAAGATGGCCTTGTAACCCGCCTTCTCTGCCCGTCGTACCAAAGACAGTGTGAGTTCCTGGTCTTTGTAGATGTAAAGCTGCATCCAAAGAAGCCCCTCACTGCCTGGTGATGTGGTCATTGCTGCCATCACTTCTTCTATACTGGAGGTGGCCCAGGAGCTCAGCATCATTCCTGTTCCTGCTGCTTTGCACGCTGTGACATACAACAGGGGGAAGATGATGGTGGAACATGTTCTTTAAAAAAAAGTCTCCTAAAAACCTTGACATGAGATCATGTAAGGACTGGTGTTTTGGAATGAATACAAATCACTTAACATCGTCTTAGATTGTAAAGTGATAGAGTTGTAGTTGCTTTTGTCAAACCTTGAAATAAACATGCAGTTTCATGCAAATCAGAGATACTTCTGCTAGAACATGGAATATGTTTTGTTTGTTTTTTTTCCTCCCAGGCTCTCATCGAGGTGGCTGCTTCTGTCATCCCTCCCCCGTTTTTCCTTCTTCCTGCTCTGCTCTCTGTGTGTCTGAAGTGCCTGGTTCACATCTCCCGAACATAAATTAAGAAGATTATGGATTTGGTATCGTGGACGTTCAACTCTATTGATAAGATTTTTTCATCAAAGTGACAAGGTCCTGGAGAACCGGTGTGTCCAGCTGAGAATCACGCTGTGGGGTACGTTATGGATTCGTGGGGAGTGTGGCAGATGATGTGTCTCTCAGTTCTGTCTCAGGAGGATGTTGAAGACGTTTACATATTTGGAATTATGATAGCAGGGACTCTGCTTTTTGGCATCGGCGGGGCTCTGTTTTATCGACTTTTGAAGCAGACAGCAGCAGCAGTTTTGGCCATGGAAAAGCTTCCGAGTCAGTGTGAAGGTTTGGTCCGTGCAGTAGGAACTTTAAATCATCTGGTTTACGAGCATAACCGTAAGGTGGAGGCGATTTATGAGAATCACAGGCCATCTGCGGCTTCTGGGACTCGTCAGTGTGGTGGGTTCGACCTTGAAGGAGACTCATAGCATGGATCAGTGGAATGGAATCCCACAATTAGGCATTTTCAGAACCAGAACGCCCAGATGGACTCAAGGCTGAAGAAAAAAGTAATCTCTGCCTGAAGAAAAAACAAGAATCAAGCTTATCTAAATCTGACTCCCGACGGCCTCGGAGACAGGCCAACTATCAAATTTCTCCTGGGACATGGGTAACCAAGGACAAAAGCTTCATCTATCGCACCCGCCGCCCTCAACACCACCCCCCCCCAACCCCCCCCGGCCCTGAGAACTTTCTGTGCAAGCTTATCAGAACTGCTGGCTGAAACAACATCTTCAGAAATTGTGGCTGATCTGAAAAAAACGCTCATGGACAAATCTCAACACCTCAATGTCAAATGCAAATGTAATCATGTTTTAATTGTGCTTGCTGGTAGAGTTTTTTTGATGTCTCAAATCGTGTCCTGATAGACAAGATGTGAAAGATCTTTTTTTTGTAATACCACTATCTACCCTCATGTTTCTCCCCCTTTTCCTATCTAAGATTATTATCTGATAAGGATAAGAAGGCCACGCTTTCTATAGTTGCAGCTTCGAGCACTCCGCCCATCTTCCGGATGACTGTACGTACATATTCGCGTTGTATCTCGGTGCAATGCCAATAAAGTTTATTCTGATTCTGATGTGTTGTGGATGACTCTCACCTACTACCACACCAATTGTAGCTCAATTTCTGTCAGATTGGCTAGGAAAAAGTGATTTTTTTTTAGTTTGCCTTTTTGTTCATCCATCCATCCACCTGTCTGTCCATCCATCCATCCATCCATCCATCCATCCATCCATCCATCCATCATCTTCTGCTTGTTCCAAAGTCAGGTCTCGGGGGCAGACCTGGGTCTAACAGGCATGGAGGCCCAAACGTCTCTCCACAGCTACCTCTTCTAGCTCTTCTGGGAGGATTCCAAGGTGTTCCCAGACCCACTGGGAGAGTCTCTTCAGTGTGTCCTTGGTCTTTCCTGATGCATGCTCAATAATCCAGGTAGAAAAATCTAAAAAAGTTTAATCTGGTCCTCTGGACATTTTTTTGAATGTCCAGAGGACCAGATTTAACTTTTTTAGGTCCTTGGTCTTTGTTTCTCCCACAGAAATCTTTGAATAAAGTAGATGCAATTTTCTGCATTTTGGTGTATTTTAATGGGTTGTTAAACATCTACGTTTACCTACATTTGTAAACACTCCACTTCTGTCAAGCATCCTACCCCCCGCCCTTACTTGACGATTCCAAGCAGACTCTTCTCCACTGAATTCACTGTCAGACTCCAAATGTGAAACCTCCAGGTGCCTCCTCCGTCTGTTCATGGCCGCTGCCTTTGAGCTCCTGCCCACGTCCGACTGCCTGGTTAGCTCGGTCCGCACTCACCCCCACCACTCTTTTAGGGTCGGAGGTTTTTTTAAAGGTAGAGGCAAAAATGCTTATTTGAAGAGGCAGCTGGTATGTGATACAATTCATCCATTCAACTTTTATTTATACTGTCTAAATAAAGGTTGAATGAATAAAGGTTAGTTCCCATCAAGCCACAAGTAGGGCATTAACAGAGTACTCAAGTAATCTACACATCGATTGCTAGGACATCTATTGAGGTTAAAAATGTAACGTCGAGTATCCGTACTGACGTCATAATATGTGACCACCGTATGACCGTAGGGGGCGGTGTTGCACTGTTGCAGGCCACAGAATATGGTGTAACACCAGGTCCAATTCACCGAACCAGAACCAGCTTCCTCTGACCTTGTTTCACAAACAAAAAGCAAAAAATATTAATCTCTAAACCTATAAAAAAATCTATAAACATATTAATCTCTAAAACTAAATTTAATGCGCACCACAGCTGGCGGTGGTGCGGGGTGGTCGACACCCCCCCACACACACACACACACTGTTTTAAGTTTAGTTTTTGCCGTTGTAATGAACTAGGCCTCGACCTCAACCTGTCTCTGAAGACCTTCATGGGACAGGAACTGTTATTTCATTGATTTTAATCCAGAAATACAAATTAGCTCATCCAGAGACTTTCTAATTGTACCCTGAATTAATCAATTGAAAGAACACTCTTCTTTTTATATTATCATT